AACACAGCCAGTCACCTGATCCCCAGGGACTTGGTTTGCATAAAAATATTGTACCTCCCATTGAGCAGGAATTCAATTTAGCTGGTAGCACTAATATATGTGAAGGGTTGGCTTCAAAGACATCTGGGATTGGTACTGAAAATAGGACTTCTATTCCGTACAATAATGATAAGATAGACAAGCATGGGAACAACCAGGATGAGGGAAGCAAAGATCCACATAGCACAGTGTTTAACACACAGGCTGGTGTTTTCGATGTTCACGTTATTGATGACAAGTCTCATCTGTGTAATGAAATGAGTGCTGAGAAAAGTGAACAGCTACCAGCGAATGCTACCTTAGACATTTCTGGAAAACGCGATATTCCAACTACAACTGGGTTGAAAACTCAGCGTAAAATCCAGAGAGTTAGTTCAGACACGGCTAGTGTATTGCTAACAATGGGTTGCCCTCGAGGCAGATCTTTACCTTCTGATATGAGGAGAAATTCCATGTCTGCAATTGATTATGAAAGATTTAAAATTGATAATGAAGTCGAGCGGCTTAGAGAAAGGTTAAGGATTGTGCAAGAGGGAAGAGAGAAGCTCAACTTCTCAGTGGGGCACAGAGAAAGGGAAAGAATTCAGCTGCAACTTTTGGAAGATATAGCAAGCCAGCTTCGAGAGATTCGGCAGTTAACTGAGCCTGGAAAGGCCGAGTGCCAGGCTGGAATGCTGCCTCCACTATCTAAGGTGAATTGTCAGAATTTGCATTCTTTTCTCTCTGAATTGACTATATTGTTACCAATAAATATGTGGCATACATTATTATTTACTATTTTATTTTGCTTACCCTTGTTTCTTCTGTTAACTAGTATCTAGTAATATCTTAAATGATATTCGTCTGTGGCATACTTAGCCAGCTGGCTGCATTTATGTTGCTGGCTTTTGTCCAGTTGCTAGGATTGTAAATTGTAATTAGCTCTTCTGGTGTAGCATTGTAGGTCTTGCTTATAAGTGCTTTGTTGCAAATTAAAATATTACAAAGGAGTGGTTTGATGATAGATGATGAGAGGCTGGAGAAAGAAGTGTAGCTGCGTAGGTGTTGCTTAATATTGCTTTTTGCTGAAAATTAGAATGAGGCAAGGGTATGGTTTGATGGTAGCATGGATAAATAATGAGAGTCTGGAGAAAGAATGGGTCATTGAAGAGTTTTTGTGGACCTTCATGTCATAATTTTTTTTTCTTTTTGCGTGTGTTTGTGTGCGCATATGTGAAAAGTTGATCCTTATCATATTATAAGATTACATTGATTTTAGTGATCGCCATTTTACCGTCTCTTCTCCATGAATGGCTGTTGCTGACTGCTGAAACCTAAATTTTCAGGTTATGTCCAAGAAAAGACGATGGCGAACTTTACCTCTACAAGTGCATAGAAGTACTTAAAAGGGCAGGAGCTGTACTCTCATACAAGTAATGTTGATGGGAAGCTGGTTATGTTGA